ATATATATATATATATATATATACCCCTGTGTTTATTGCACACTATTTATAATTCTCAATATATGAAAATAACCTAAGTGTCTACTGACAGGTGACTGGGTAAAGAAGATATGTATATACACATACATTCAATGGAATATTATTCAGTTATAAAAAATGAAATCTTGCCATCGTGACAACATGGATGGATCTAGAAGATATTATGCTAAGTGAAATAAGTCATACAGAGAAGGACAAATGCCATATGATCTCATTTATATGGGGAATGTAAAAAACAGAACAAATGAACAGATAAACAGAAAACAGACTAGTAAATACATAGAGGTAGTTGCCAGAAGGAAAAATAGTGGGAGGGCTGATCAAAATAGGTGAAGTGGATGAAGAGGTACAAATCTCCAGTTATAAAATAAATGTCATGCACACATGGGCTTCCTTGATGGCTCAGTGGTAGAGAATCTGCCTGCCAACGCAGGAGATGCAGCTTCAGTCCCTGGGTCGGGAAGATGCCCTGGAGGAGGGCGTGGCAACCCACTCCAGTATTCTGGAGAATCCCATGGACAGAGGAGCCTAGTGAGCTACAGTCCATAGGATCGCAAAGAGTTGGACATGACTGAAGCAACTTAGCATGCATGGATGCAGGGAAGAGTAAAATATGTTCATGTATTCTAAATTAGGCAATAAACTGTGAATGAAATATCAAGATATTTTACATTTTTCTTAATTTAGAATTTTGCCTTTATCTGTGTTCAGATGCATTTTACTCACTAAAATCATTGTTCACTGATGTCACTGATTTTTGAAAATATATAGTAAATTCTGTATATGTCTTTAACTTCATACATTTAGAATCAAAACAAAACACCCAAGTCCTAGTCTCAGCTCTACCACTTATAAATTGCAATTTGGAATAAGCATGAACATCTCTAAACCTCAGTTTCATCATCCATGAGATGGGAACTAGGATCCCCTTCCCTAATTCCCTCACTGTTCTTCCCTGAGGAACACACAGCATGACAGATGCAACAGTGCAGAGAAAACTGCAACACGACCTCTAAGAGCAATCATGACACCCAGCAAGTTCTCTCTATTAATGTGTGAAGTGGGTCTACTGAGCTTCATGTCACAGGGAGACTTCAAACAGCCCAGGTGATTTCACCAGGCTCCTACTCACTGAGCAAGAGGATGTCTCTGCTTCAGGATGTAAGACTTCTCCACTGAGTGAGCTTTAATGTTTAAAGGTGCTTATTTTGTACACCAGACCCAGCATGTAAAGCAACAACTTCATCTGGTGCCAGGCTGACTACACAGGGAAATGTCCCAGTGCTTGAGAGAAAAACCAGTTGTGCCAGCTTTGGGAAAACACTGTCTGTCCTCAATATGTACAATATAATATTGTAAAGTAATTAGCTTCCAATTAAAATAAATAAATTTATACTAAAAAATAAAATAAAGAAAAAGAAAATACTGTGTCTGTCCTCAATATGTACATCAATTTACCAGAATCAAATTTCAGTAAGAATTTTGAATACAAACAACTGATCTCACATTCAACCCATGGGTAGCCTGCAACTCCACTACATTTTAAAGAGAAAAACAGCCTCAATGACTTTCTCTCACTTGTGACATACAGCTCACTGTACATGTCACCAATAATGGATATTAAATGCATGTTTTGTTTGTTGTAGTCACATAATCAAATGGGTAAATGAATCAACAGCCATTTCCTCTTGCTAGATGCAACAAGTAGTTCCTGCTCAGCCTTGCCCCTCGGGCACTGGAGATAAGAACCACTTACCTGAATGAGCTTGCAAAGATTAAAAGTGGGTTGTGTATCATGAATTGATGTTAGGCAGTGATCTCATAAAATACAAGACTTGAAGACATTGTGTGTGTTTGGGGGGGAGGCCGTATAAGGAGAAGTGTATAATGGGGTTCAGTAAAGTTGGGGGTTCAGGAATTATCAGAACCACTTTTATTTCTGGTTTTCTTTAGCCCTTAACCACAGTGCATCTGCGTCTTGCTCATTCCAAACCTGATCCTGACAACAGTAGCCCACTTAGAGAAAGTTCACATTAAACACATTCATGATGTCGTCAGGGAACTTTCTGGTCCCTAACTAGGAAGACCGCTTTTGTTAAGCCTACAATATCAAAGCTTTTGGGCTGACCTAGAAACAGCTCCATCCTAGTACACAGGCACAGGAGAATCCCATGGCTTACCTGTTTGATTCTCAGCTGTACCAACTTCAATAGAATCATACTTTCCCTCATAACCCCTTTTATCCCATTTCAAAATTCTATGCTGTGTATATAAAATAACTGACGTGCTTCCTCAGACATATCCCTCCCTGTTAAAAGAAGTCCACCTAGCTATATAGTACTTAAATGCACTAACCAAAAAATTAAATTGCCTCTATTAAAACTTAGCCACCCTTAACTTTTACAATCTGTAGGCATATCTGTTTTTCTGATTAATCATTTGCAAAATAATCTGAAGGAATGAGACATTTTTTTGAAGTATAATTACTCTACAATAGTGTGTTCGTTTCTGCTATACAATGAAGTGAATCAGCTATATGTATACATATTAATATGTCTCCTCCTTCTCGAGCCTCACTCCCACCCCACCCCATCCCACCCCACCCCTACCCCACTCCTCCTGGTCATCACAGAGCACCAAGCTGAGCTCCCTGTGCTAGACAGCAGCCTTCCCCTAGCTGTCTGTTTTGTACATGGTGTACATATGCCGATGCTACTCTCCCAATTCGTCCCACCCTCCCCATCCCCCACTGTGTCCACATGTTCACTCTACATTTGAATCTCTAGTCCTGCCCAGCAAGTAGGCGCATCTGTACCATTTTTCTAGATTCCACATATATGTGCTAATATATGATTGTTGTTTTTCTCTTTCTGACTTACTTTACTCTGTATGACAGACTCTAGGTCCATCCACATCTCTACAAATGACGCAATTTCATTCTTTTTTATGGCGGAGTAATTTTCCATTGTATATATGTACATCTTCTTTATCCATTCCTCTGTCAATGAACATTCAGGTTGCTTCCATGTCTTGGCTATTGTAAATAGTGTTGCTGTGATCATTGAAATGCTTAGAAGTGCAGTCGTGTCCAACTCTGAGATCCATGGATTATAGCCTACCAGGCTTCTCTGGGATGGGATTTCCCATGGGATTTCCCCAGCAAGAACACTGGAGTGGGCTTCCATTTCCTTCTCCAGAGGATCTCCCAACCCAGGGATCAAATCAGTGTCTCTTGTGTCTCTTGCATTGACAGATGGATTCTTTACCACTAGTGCCACCTGGGAAGTTCAAACATTCGGGCACATGTGTCTTTTTGAATTATTGAAACCTAATTTTAAAGATTTTTTTCTGAGATTGAAACAGGTTTCATTTGTATTTTGAGGCTCATCAAATGAAAGATCAACCACCAGTTTTAACCCACTCTTTGAGTCATCTCAAATGCTAGTAAAATATATAACATATTGAACACAATCTTTGATGTCTACAAAGGCTCCCAAAGAGCAAGATACTATTTGCCTATTGAGATATATTTTTCCTTCAATATGGAAAGTAATTTTATCAGAACAGTTACTAAAAGAAAAGCAAAATGAAAAAATCCAGCCAAGATCAATTATTTGATATACATAGAACTAGTTAAGTGGAAATCAAACATACTATTATTGGATCAGGGGATGGGATATGAATGGTCAGTAAAACTGTAAGTCAAGAATTTAGCAATGCTGAACATCTAAAAACAAGCCAACAATCCAGCCATGCTAAATTTCAAAATATCTAAATATTGAGTGGAGACTGGAAAACAATAAAGTAGTAAATGTTACTACAGTTATTTTAGAACATATTTAAATTGTCTCAGTACATCATAGTAAAGATATTTGAGTGGTTTTCTTTTTCCTAATGCCTCAAAAGAAAAAGACATCTTGTTCAAAATTTAGTTTATTTCCCAAATATTTCTTTCATTGTTCTCACAGCGGAAATTTGAGGCTTTTGTACTTTAAAATCCACATGAGAATAGCATGTGGAAGCCAACAAACAGGAATGTGTGTTTAATATTTTATAAGTATCAAATAACTTAAGCTAAAAGTTAATCCAGAGAAATCCTGTGACCTCCATAATATTTCTAGAGCCTTCTAGAAAGGAGAAGAAAATCATAGAAAGAGTTTTCTTTTCTCATAATTTTATTTTCTATTCTTTCTTTCTAACTTGAGTTTTGATTACCAGTCACTATGTTATCTCCTTAAGATACTGTCCTCTCTCTACCTGATTCCCAACAGATGTGGCCATAGCCATTGGTCTTCATCCTCCAAGCCACTATTAATGTGTGGTCATTGTGTATTATAAGTTTTAATAAAAGCTTTATGTAGGAGAAGGAAATGGCAGCCCACTCCAATATTCTTGCCTGGAAAATCCCGCGGACAGAGGATCCTGGCAGGCTACAGTCCATGGGGTCTCAAAAGAGTTGGACGCGACTTAACGACTAAACAATAACAAGTGATAGCTAGTACTCAATCCTGTTTAGCCAAGACTAGCTTCTGTCTCCAACTCTTAAATTAAAATTCATTGCAGTGCCAACTTTCCTTCTTTTCCTCTAAAAGCCTCTGATTTTACTCCTGAGCTGGGACACTGTTCGGGCTGCTACTAGAATCTTTTTGCCCCAAATTGCAATTTTTTTTATTCAAAATTAACACTTTTGCTTTTTTTTAAAAAAAAAGCTTTATGGAATATGGAGGATAATTAAAGTACGCTACAGATAAGGAAACAAATTCAGGATGAAGTGTGACTTCTAAATCTCATTGTCCATTCACTACTGAGGGACCTCTTATTTACTGGCCTTGTGTGAGGTACCTCTTATTTATAGGCCTTCTTTACTAGACCGTGGAGTAATGACACATTCCTAGGAAATGTTTTACTCCCATGCCTGTTCTCTGAATTATAAGATCCTGAAAATTTTTTTTTTTTTTTGGCAGAAAAAGTCAGTTTTCAAAACAAATGTTTTCTCATATCTTATGTTTGCTGTGCTAGGCTTAGTCACTCAGTCATGTCTGACTCTTTGTGACCCCATGGACTGTAGCCCACCAGGCTCCTCTGTTCATGGGAATTCCAAGGCAAGAATACTGGAGCAGGTTGCCATTTCCTTCTCCAGAGCAGAATAGAATAACTTTGAGAAGTTGGGCCAATATTTAATTCAAGTTTGCATCTGGTCAGTTTAAAATGGTGATGGATATCTATGCATAAGGAAGTTGGGATTTCAGATGTAGAATTTATGATTTAAGAATTATTAGCATCTAAGTATTAAAAATAATAGTACTCAATATTTACTGAAAATGGTGAACTCCATGCTAAATATTTTATATGCCTTTTCTTACTTACTGGTCTCAGCATCCCTAAGAGGAAGGTACTATGATCAGCTTCCTTTCAGAGATGGGGAAATAAGGCCCAGAACTGAGGGGTAACTTGCCCCAGTCACCTGATTAAGTGATGAGCAAGGATTTGACTCCAGGCAGTTTTATTCTGGAGTCTTCACATGTTAATTCTTTTTTGGACCATCTCCAAGGCAAAGGCAGAAGCTCGGAGATTGAGCAGGAGATTATGATGAGAAACGGGATGTGTCCAGTAGGAATATTTTTGATCTAACCATACACTTTTATTCCACTTCTTATTGCCAGTAGTTCTCTCTTTGTAGAATAAAATATTAATAGTAAGAACTCAATAGATATTGAGTGAGTGAATGAATAATTGGAGGTTAGAGGTTCAGGCTTTGCAACCATACAGAAGAGGAAGACTCACTGGATGAGGCTGTCCAACTTTGAGGTACTCAAACCCCCATCCCACAAAAGAAAACCGGCTGCCTCAGAATCACCTGGGGTGGTTTCTTAAAAACAGACTCTCAGTTCTCAGCCCTGACCCACTGCAAAGTGAATGGTCAGCGTGGCATGCTGTGTCCTTCATCAATGCCTGGGAGATTCAGATGGACAGCCAGTTTNAAATAATGGTTGATGGTGTTTGCATCACAGAAGATCAGCCTCAGCATGCATCCAGTGTGAGCCATGGCACCAGAAAATGCCATCAAGTAGGAAGCAAGCATAAGGCTGGAACACACTTTAGGGGACATGGCAGCATTATACAAGAGTGGGTTACAGATGGCCACATAGCGGTCATAGGCCATTGATGTCAGCACATAGCATTCAGAAACGACAAAAAAACAGAAGAAGTAGAACTGAGTCATGCACCCCATGTAAGAAATAATATTCTCCTTCGATAAGAAATCTATCAGCATTTTGGGTGTAAGTACTGAAGAATAACAGAGGTCTGTGAAGGACAAGTTAAAGAGGAAAAAGTACATGGGGGTGTGTAGATGTGAATTTATCCCAATTAGGATTATCAGGCTCAAATTTCCCATCACAGTGACCATATACATTAATAGAAACAGGAAAAACAAGGGAACTTGGAGATCCAGTTGGTCTGTTAACCCCACCAGGATGAATGCAGTCACGAAAGACCCATTCCCAGGAGCCATTCCTCCCTAAAAAAATCTGTGGGCACAGGAGAGATTTACATTGGGGAACAGCTCAATCCTTCTGACAATATCTCATCCTACAAGACAGTGTACATACTGAGCGTGTCTGAGACTAGGCCAACCTGGGCCCATAGAATCTGCCTTTACCATGGGCTTTCCCTTTCTAGAGTCTTGATAAGCTAAATAAAGCAAAGAGTGTCACAGACAGCCTACAGAGAGAAGGCAATGCTGCCATACGGATACATGCCTGCTGGAAAAATGAAGGGATAAGAGAGAGGGATCAAGTTAGAAAGTCCTCCTCTTATTTCACCTTTTCTTCATTCACTTAAGCCTTCTCCTCATCAGTAAAATTGTAGGCAGAGACCCCGGCTACATGGTGCTGGCTTCTGGTGCAGATTAGATCTGGTGTGAGTTGGAACCATGAAGATTGTCTCTAACCAAAGACTAAGGAACCGAAGGCTAGAGGAGGTTAAGTTATTGCCCAAAGTAGAAGAGTGAGAGTCTGTCCATAGAAAAGGAACTTACTAACTGAGACACTTCCGCATCTCCTAACCTCTGAAGACTCTCTGATCCTCTTCAATATAGTCTCCTAAGAGTTTCACTTGAATCTCATGACTGCACAAAATGGTCGGGAGACAAGGAGACAGGAAAGTGGCAGATCTAGTATCAACAGAATTCAGAAACTCACCCTTATGTGGCCAGAAAACTTAGAGTTCTCCCTAGGCATTTGTCCTGGAAAGGCAGTGTCAGGTCTGAGGCTCTGGTTCATTTGATTCTAAAATGAAAAGTCTGAGCAGCCCAGACTTAATTTCAGGTATGCCCTGGAAATCTTTCTGAACTACAAATATTAATTTCTAATTATGACTTTGAGTCTTCTCTCAGCAAGGAAAATTTAACAGCATTGTTATCAGGTTTGCCACTTGATAATACACAGAAGATGGACTGTGAGTTTAATGATGTAGCGCACTTGGTTATAAACAGGGTGGAAGCTTGCTTGGTCTCTCCCTGGGGAATAGATTCTATGTGTAAAAGAAGTAAGGGAGTTACATTTACCATGTTCTCTACCTAGGTCCTTAGGGAATCAATATTTTCATCCAGTTTACACATCACTCCAGGGATTGCACACCCCCCAGGGCAGAGGCGAAAGTAAGCTCCCATCTTCCTATCATCTTCATCACTTTAGAAAACTCTATTGTGCAGGTTCTTTCTCTATGTCTTCCCAGACACTAAGAGGAAATTTTCCAGAGTCTACCTATGGGTTTCTTCGTATCTTTACCTGAAATTTTACAAAGCCTCTAGTAACTCACTTCACTTGTTGTCTCTCATGGATTATCTCAGAAAGAAAATGCTAAATGCCTTTCTCCCTACTAAATTTTTTACATTTTAAACACCTACTGGAAATATCTACCTAAGGTTCCAGCTGGGTCCTTAAATGTATTATTTCATTAACTGAGGTCATCAATTATTTCTCGCAGTAGAAAAGAGTGGGGGCTATAGAGTTAGAGGGTATGAGTTTGAGGCCTATCCCCATGCTTACTAACTTGGACACAGTGATTAACTCTCCATGCCTCAGGTTCATAATTCCTAAAATATTGATGATAATAATAGCATCTCTTTCATTGGGTTATCTTGATGATTAAATGAAAAAAAAAAAAAAAAAAAAATGGTTAGAATAGTACCTGGCATGTAGTATACAGTCAAATAATGTCAGCTGTCTTCATATATGTTCTCCAAATTTTCTGTAAGTCCTCCATTATAACACTCACCAGTCTTCTCTTTACTTCCTGTGTCTCCCTGTAAATTATACGTTCTGTGAGGACAAACATCTCTTCTGTCTTGTTTACTGCTTCTCTTGTACTGCTGTGAATAAGGCAGGGACCTCCCTTGTGGCTCAGCAGGTGAAGAATCCTCATGCAATGCGGGAGACCTGGGTTCGATCCCTGGGTTGGGAAGATCCCCTGGAGAAGGGAATGGATACCCACTCCGGTATTCTGGCCTGCAGAATTCCATGGATTGTGTAGTCCATGGGGGTCACAAAGAGTGGGACACGACTGAGCGACTTTCACTCGCACAGTAGGCCCTGCATAAATAACTCTGTGAGTTACATTGTTCTCTGGTGAAAGCCTTCCGAGTGTTTCTCACGTTTCTCACATGCTCAGTGTTAGGGTCTACAACCGCATTGACTTCCATCCTTTTCCCTCAGCCACCACACAAGCTCAGGTACTTTTGAGGTTTTTATTGAACTATATGCTGAAATGCAATGATTCCAGTAACAATTCTAGCTTTTCTCACATACTCCTTCTTATTTGGCCATATACATAGCTGGAGGATAAGTTCTGAAAGCACACATCTCTCCCTTCCTTCTTTAAAATCTTCAGTGACCTTCAGTTACCCCAGGACACCTGAATCATTGTAATAAAACAATACGGCAACATTGTAGTGAAAATATAAGTATCAAAACTACGAATACTGGGCATACACCCTTTGAAAACCTAATTAAAAGAGACACATGTTCCCCAATGTTTGTGACAGCACTTTTTACAATAGCTAGGACATGCAAGTAACCTAGATGTCCATCGACAGATGAATGGATACAGAATAGTGGTACATATATATACAATAGAATATTACTCAGCTATAAAAAAAAAAAGAACGCATTTGAGTCAGTCTTAATGAAGTGGATGAACCTAGAGCCTGTTATACAGAGTTAAGTAAGTTAGAAAGAGAAAGACGAATATTGTGCATTAACACATCATATGGAATCCAGAAAGATAGTACTGATGAACTTTTCTTCAGGGCAGCAATAGAGATGCAGACATAGAGAAGAGACTTGCTGACACAGTAGGGGAAGGCGAGGGCGGGACAAATTGAGAGAAACATGGAAAAATACACATTGCCATATGCAAATAGATATATTTTACATAAAACAAAACATTACCTTCTTCATTCCTGACTGCTCTAAATGGTTATCTTAGTGTTTTTGTCCTTAGGAACTGAAATCAAAAGACAATCTCCCTTTACCATGTTTTCTTAAGACTAAATTGAGAAGATAGAGACAATGGTGAGAGAAGCATTTTCCTATTCTCCTTTTCTAAGAAACAAAGGAATCTACCAGACAAAATCCCCTCCAGCACTTTCAACAAAGGTTTATTAAATAAATGAGTAACTTACTGAATCTTAAGTCCACAAAGTCCATATGTCCATGACAAAGCTTCACAGGAGTTCTGGACATACCTTAGTCAAAAATCTCACAAACTTACTGTTTCTGGATTCATCACCATTCACCTTTTTCTACTTAAAACCTTATAATCTCTGAAAATAAGCTTGAGCATGAAAGGATGAATTATAGAGTTGGGTTGGACAAAAAGTTCATTTTCCAAATGAACTTATTGGCCAACCCAATACTTTCCTACTTTCTATGAAAGGATGAATGGCTGATTCTCCTCTTCTTTATACTGTTTTTTCTTATAAAGTGGTTTTCATAAAAAACTTAGCTTCTCTTATTGTTTAAATCACCTGCTTTTTATTTTAATTCCTTTCTCTTTTCTCCATATCATCATACATTGTGTGCCCTTACTAAAATTTGACATCAACAGCTAACATGATTTCTATTCAGAACACCCTATTCCTAATAGTCTTACTCAGTGCAACTTGGACATCTTTGTTCCTCAAACTGTAGATGAAAGGATTCACCATTGGCCCCACAATGGTGTAAAAAACTGTGGACACTTTATCTTCATCCAGAGACCCAGCAGGAAAAGGCTTAAGATACATGAATGTTGCTGATCCAAAGAAAAGAGAAACCACGATTATGTGGGAGCTGCAGGTACTGAAGGCTTTGGACCTGCCCTCTGCAGAACGGATGTGGAGGATGTTGGAGAGGATCAAGGTGTAAGAAACGGAGATGGTGACACTGGGCACTATGACATTGACACCCACCACAATGAAAACCACCAGCTCATTGATGGAGGTGCTTGTGCAGGAGAGCTGGAGGAGAGGAGGAATGTCACACATGTAGTGATTGATGATGTTTCCATCACAGAAGGAGAGTCGCAGCATGCACCCAGTGTGGGCCATGGCACCCACAAGCCCCATGGCGTATACACCCACCATCAGCATGAGGCAGACCTGATGGGACATGGAGACCTTGTAAAGCAGGGGCTTACAGATGGCCACGTATCGGTCATAGGCCATTGACGTCAAAATATAGCATTCATCAATAACAAAGAAGGAGAAGAAGCAGAGCTGAGTCATGCAGTCTGCATAAGAGATGATGTTCTGGCTCACAAAACTCATCAGCATTTTAGGGGTAATGACGGAGGAGTGGCAGAGATCAATGAAAGAAAGGTTGAAGAGAAAGTAGTACATGGGAGTGTGCAGGTGAGGGTTCAGACCAATAAGAATAATCAAGCCAACGTTCCCCACCACAGTGACCACATAAATTGCTAAGAAAATGAAAAAGAGAGGCAGCTGGAGTTCTGGCTTCTGTGTTAAACCCAGCAGGATAAACTCGGTCACTGAAGAGTCATTCTCTGGGGCCATTCTTCCCTAGGACATACCTGGAGAGCAGGACAGAGGGTAATGTTAAAATGAGTGCCCCGCTCTCTCCACCCAGCCCCACTCTAATGAGAGAGACCCAGAACGCGAGAAGGAACCCCAGCCCACCCTTCTGTGCCTTTGTTTTCTCCTCTGTATAAAGGTTGAGGAAACTTTTAAAGACGTGTATCAAAAACACTAATGGGCAAGTTCTACAGGGATAAAATTCTGTAACCTGAGGACTCATGACAGCAGCATCTCTGCTCCACTTCTGCTCTGGCAGTTACCAGGCCCACCCAATGATCAGTGGTCATCTCAGCAAAGAGAAAGCTGTCATTTCAGGGAATCCTTGACTTCCACAGATGACATTTGGAAGATGGATAACAGGACAGATAAAATTCAACACTCACCCTTCTGTATGGAGACTTCAGTGTTGGGACTTGCTACCTCTGCTTCCTTATTCT